TGAGCCTTCCAAGGGACAGGATAAATGAAGTCTCAGCAAAATGAATTTTAAAGTTGAAGTAGCTAAAAGAAATAACAAACAAAACACCACCCAAGGACTGCTGGTTGGAACAAAGCACCTTGGGTCCCTGCCCTGTGGAGGGGCTCAGTCCACGGCCCCACAAGTGACTTTGGAATTGTGTAAGTTCCCCTCTGTGTTGCCACGGTGGCAAATTCCCAGCGCGGAAGCGCTGGCCGCCCCGTGTGCCTGATTCTCCAAACGGCCCACCCTCTGCAGGCCCCGCCAGGCCCTGCCCCTCTCCAAGCTCGTGAGTCAGTCCCTTTCCTGGCACCTGCTAACCAGTGGCCCTTGACCTGGAAGGTCAGACCTCCGTCCTCCGCCTCAGCCGCAAACAGGGAAGGAGCGCAGTGGGCGCAGGCTCCGGTTCGGGGAGGAAAGGCCGTCTGAGCGCCGTCCTCCCCGGGACCCTCCCTGTGCTAGGGGCCCCTTCTGCCCCAGGCGGCCACCCTGCCTTCCTCCCTTGGGGACCTCCCTCGGGACAGCGTGCCCTCTCCTGAGGCTCCGCAAGGCCTCTTCCCTGGGCGGCCAGGAGCTTCCACCCGCGCCGGGAGCACCTGCCCTCCCACCTCTCGCGCTGGGCTCTCACGGGCTGTCGGTTTTGTCCTCCCCGTGGGGCTGCAAGCTCGCTCTTCTGTGAAGCATCCACACGCACACGTATGCGCTGTCACGCGCAGGTGTGTGCTCGCAGCCCGCGGGCTAGGTGGGCTGTCCACTGCAGGCGCGGAATTTGATGTGTTCCTGCACACACATTCACACTCACCTAAAAGGTGTGTATCCACACACACACAGTGTGTACTCCATGTGTACGTGAGTAGGTGACACCTCTCTGCACCCCTCCGTCCCCACCCACGGGGCCCCGTGGACTCCTCATCGCCAGCGGCCACAGCGCCAGGTCAGTCTGTCTAGTGGGCACAGGCCCCGGTACGGACACACCAGCACGTCCTCGTGCATGAATGAGCGTTCTTTTGTTTCCCCGTTTTTTGTTGTTATGAAAAACATGCTGCAAAGAACGTTTCTTTACGGTCTCGCTGGGTCGAAGTGCATGCACATCCTGTTTCACCTGTCGCCACGTGGCTTCCAAACGGACTGTGGCGTGTGCATTTCCCCTACGCCCGGTGAACACAGGACACACACCGCAGCCGCAGGTGGCGTGTTCTGCATGTCCGTTCGGCCCGTTTGGTCTGCGGTGCAGGTCGGGTCTGCTTTTTCCTTATCTTCTGCCCGATGGCAACCTGCTACCGTGAGTGGGTGCTGGAGTCTCCTACTGGCCACGTAGCGCTACCCGGTCCTCCCTTCAGATGCGGCAGCGTCTGCCGTGTACTGTCACGCGCCACACGGCGACATTTAGGTCAACAACAGACCGTATGTGACGGTGGCCCCACGAGATCATAATCCCTTATTTTTGCTGCACTTTTCTGTTCGCACGAGCGTGGACACACGGTCATTGTGCTACGGTGAGTGACAAAGGGCTCAGTGTCTGGGCTCCCTCTTCTCAGCGCTTTCTCCTCTTGGCTCCAAGCACAATCACAGCAGCGGGAGTTCCAACGTCAATAATGTCCCTTTTCTACAATGTGGCTTGTTTTGGAAGCACCCATGGCAGCTTCCCTGTGTCTGTCCAAAGGCCCAGAAGCTCACCTCCTCCCCGTCGCTGCTTCCTGAGCCCTGAGACTGGGCACAAGCCCCCTCCTCCAACAAACGGCAGGCGCAAAGGCTGCAGGGAGAACACAGGTTTGCCCTGCCCAGGAAGGAGAAGCCCGAGGGCAGGGGAGGAAGGAGCTGCTTCCTTCCAAAGTCCTCCACCGCAGCCCTTGAACAATTTCATCCACCAACGACTGGAACAATTTCACCCACCAACGACCTCCCAACCCAAAGGCCCCAGAGCTGAACTGCAGGTACCCACGTCGGCCTCCCACCGTTTAGGACGGGCTCCGTTTCACCAGCGGCGTCACTCCTCGATTCAGTATTCGACGAGGACCCCCAAAGCATTTAATGTTAGCAGAAAACATTCTCCAAATAAGTCGCCCACGCTCCCCCGCCCCTGCAGGACAAGCTCCTTCCACGCTCTGAGCGTGGGAGGGGAGCTGGTTTTTCCTGCCGGGGGTGGGATCTGCTCGAAGGCAGGCCAGTCGGGGGCCTTCCCCACGTGCGCCCCGGGACACACAGCCCGAGAGTGGTGTAGAAACTGCCAGAACCCTGTTTTCTACTGCAGAGAAAGACTATGTGGGCAAAGAAGCCAGCAGGCAGAGCAAACAGACAGGCGATGGTTAAGTCAGGGGTCCTGCAGCCCTGGGGCCAGCCGACTTCCAGAACCCTTCCAAGGACGTGAATGCACAAGGCCTCCTTTTCCTGTGCGAGAGCTGCCTGCAAGCCCCCAGAAGGCTGCCTGCCCTCAGTTGGCCCCTCCCCACATGGCAGGCAGCACCAGCCGGCTGTGCTTTGCTTCCTGAGGTTTGACAGCCTGGCTGGCAGCTGAGCCCACGGTCACCAGCAATGTGACCTCTTTCCAAAGCAGGCTTTCTAAATGTGGCGGAGATTGGTATACGGCTCTCTGTGATTAAGGCAATTAGTATAAAAAGTGAGAACTAAAAATAAAGTCCTAAGCCCCCACCTACAAGACCCCTCTCGGCCAAGGGGACCTCAGGGAAACCCTGACACCGCGTTTCCAGCTGTGGCGGGATGGGAGGTCAGACTCACCTCACTGTACCCTCCAGCTAACAGCCATCGGCTTTACTTCCTGCGGGCCGGAGCAGCACCCTTTCCGGAAGTGACCCCCCAGGAAGTGATTTTAACACTCTCCGGAACATGTGCAAAGAGGGTTTCCGTGTCCTTGTTTCCCCTTTCTGACACAGAGGGGCCATTTTCAAACACGGACCCCACAAAAGGCCAGAAAGCCCCACTGCACAGGCGCGTGGTTCTTCCCACGGATATTCACGACTCCTCCTGTGGGTGTGAACTGTGTGTACTTAGCCACCCACTCAGTACAAAATCCTGTTCCCTTTGTCCACCCTTGGAGCACGTGCTCCTGGCCGTGGCCGGGAGCCGCTTCCCAGCCTGCCGGAACAGCCGCGGCCGGCTGCAGACGCTTTGTGAGAGGCAAACTCTCCTCTCCAAATCGTCGGCCCCCTCATTCTTTTCAGTTAACATGTCTTTGTTGGTGTGAAGGAGAGCATGATACTGACAACGGCGAGAGTTCTGCCCGGGAGTCAGCCCGGACGGGACAACTGCCTAAAGTCACTATCACCTGGCGTTACCCTTCCTCATGGTCTGCAGGTGGTGGCCACGTCACAGGGAGATCAGGAAGAAACGAGGCAGAAGTTCTGTCTCTGGGCCTCGGTGCCGAGGAAGCTTCCAGGCCTCTGTGAAGGCAGAGGGAGCGGCGCAGAGCGCACCGGGTCTGAGCGTGTGCACACGCAGACACATGCAGATTACTGTGCACGGGGCCGCGTGAGCCAGTCGGAACCTCCAGCGCCAGCAGAGGCTTCCAAGGTTCACAGCATTAGTCTGGTCGGGCCGTGCCGGTCCTCACCAGGCCCGCCCACGCGGCTGAGTCACTGTCCGCCAACCGTCCTTCCTGCACCCTGGACCACTCCTTCCTGCCAGACCAGAGGCCAATATCCTCGTTCGCCAGTGAGGAGAGGGAGCCCAGAGGAAGGAGGGGCTCCGGCGGGACCCCACGGCTCCCCGAGGGTGCAGCATGTGGGGACCAGCTGGTGTCCCCAGACTAGTCGGAGCTGTGACCGCCGCCCTAACACTGAGCGCTGCAAGCCCCGTGGGCAAAACCTCAGTGGATGGCTAATTGCAGGAAACCACTGGATCACTTAAGAGTTCACCCAAATACCGAGCTGTTTCCCACAGAGCCTTTTAAGCTTGTTTCGAGGGATCCGCGCAGGAAACTGCAAAATCTACTCTCGTGAACCTCGACGACATCGTGCTGAGAAACCGCCCTCCGCCAGAATCCCGCCGTCCTCGCCCGCAGACCGGAGCCGTGTCGCAGACGCAGACGCAGACGGCAGCCTCCGCTCCCCGCCGCATGCACGCGGGGCTGCACGAGGAGGGTTTCCAGACACAGCAGTCGGCCTTTACCCCACCCACGCCGTCCTCCCACTGCCCCCGCGGCCCCCGGCAAGCCCGGGCTGGAGAGCTGGCTGCCCCGGTGGGCGTCGGCTACTGACCCGGCGAAGGACAGGCGTGCAGCTGAAGCACCGGCTGGAATCCACGTGGCAGAGCCGACTCCGGTTCTAACGAGAATCTCCCCCGGCCTCAGTGACGGCGGCGTCCCTTCCGTAACCGCGCCAGGTGGTGCCCTCGGGGAGCTCTCCGGGTGGAGGTCGGCGTGGCTTGTTCACTTAGCGTCTTGGCTTTAACTCTGAGAGCCGGCACTGCTGACGCCACGAGGCCTGGGCATTTCCTGGTCTGAGAACATTCTTCAAGGCGGACACGAAACGGCAATCTTAATCTGTTTCAGCCACTATCAATTACTGAGCCGGACCAGTAAGAAACCTAAAAAATAAATAAACCTTTCCCCCCACAGATGTCATGGTTCCCCCTGAAATGGACAACACACATTTCTCATGGAGAAGGCAGCGCTTTCAAAGTCACTGTCCTGTCATCCTAGCTCTCTGGGCCTCAGCTTGGCGACGGCGGGAGGAGTGCGGTGCCCGTCTGCCCACACGGGCGAGGGACGGGACCCACGGCAAGGCCTGCAGGGCGCGGCCAGCAGGACGGTCTGCTGTAACTCACGCCACAGCAGCAGTGAGCCGCCGGCCACCCGCCGCTGCCCACCGAGACAGCGCTCGCTGTGCTGACAAACACGGTTCTCTTATGCGCGCACACACACACACGCACACACACACACACACACACACACACACACAGACTTCTAGGGATTGTAACCGTCACTCAAAAACAACAGAATTAAAATTACTCTGTATGTGATGTGCTGCTTTCCTTTAATTGAAATAAGGACAGAAGCTGGTCACATTAGAGGTTAACGGCATCAGGTGGGTGGTGAAGACGGTTCTTCGCTTTCTTGGCGACCCAGCTCCTGATTTCCAGTGATGCCCACAAGTCCTTTAAAGCCATTTGAAAGTGTCCTCTGAGAAGATCCGCCACACTGTGCTGTGGCACAGGCGTGGCTGCACTGCAGCCGGGCAGCACGTCACTGGATGTCATCGTCATCAAAGAGATCTTCAAAATCTAGGCAGACAAACAAAGCCACGCGTTAGCGGGGCACGCGAGGGTGAGCGACTGAGGGAATCAAAGTTAATCTACGGGAGTTCAAAATTCAGAGAAAACAGTCGACAATCTAACTGAAGACTTTCCCGTGACAGACTCTTTCATCCACCGGGGCTCACGGATGCAGTCCGAGAGGAAAGCGTTACCTAGAGCGTATCTTTAATCTTGTTTTCATTTAGAAGGGGATCTTAAGAAAATACATGCCGGGTGCTCTGGAGCACGTGGACGACCACCGCACAGCGCGGCTGAGCACCAGGGACGCGGCGTGCCCGTATCTGCACGTGTGGGTGCACCGCAGCCCCGGCGCTGCTCCTGCTCACGGGAAGGGCAGAGCCGAGTGCAAGGTGCTGGCGGGCCTGGCGGGGCCGAGGCAAGCCCCCGGCTGTGTGCCATGGGAACGGAATGCCAGGGTGGACTGGCGAAAGCAGGAGGACCAGGCCGCGACAGAACTGCTCCCTGTAAGGGAGGCTGGAGGACGGCCAAGCTCGAGAAACACAGGCCAAGCCCATTCCTGCTGGAAGAAAAGCAGCAGACGCACAGTGCACTGCTTTGGGCAATCAAAGTTGGGGCCGTGTCGTCCTTCTGTTTACTTCATGTACTTTCCAAACTCCCTTTCCTTCTCGGTGGGAAAGACACAATGTAGCACCCATCCGTGTGCACAGAAAATGCGCAGCATGATCGTGAATTAGCAAGCGGAGTCCAAGTCCTCCACGGTTAGACAGAGCGAAGAGGCAGGCAGCCTGCCTGGGGGAGGGCAGCGGCCCCGACGCACCTCTGGCCACCAGAGGGTCCTGGCTCTCCCCAGCTGCACTGATGGGCTCCACGCCCTCTGCCTCCTGACCACTGCGTGTGGCTCTGCGCTCTGAGAACTTTCTGCCCAGTCCCTGCCCCTGGCCGACTCCTTCACGCCCTTCAAGCCTCTGCTCTGCTGTCACCTCCAGAGAACCTTCTCGCAGATGCTCCTAGAGACAATCCCACCCATCCTGTGTCAGGGCTCATCACGGTAACGTCCCTGCTGGCAAACTTGTCTACACCGCCTGCTGTTTAGTAAAACACAGTGAGGGAAGAGAAATCTTGTTCATGGGTAAAACCCCACTGCCCAGGGAGTAACAGTCATCAAAACCAGTCTGTCTGGGGAACAACAAGGACCTGGCAGAGGCGTGGGCAGAGGGGTGAGACGCTCTTCCACGTCCCCTCCTTCCTGGCCACGGCGGAAGGGGAGAACGTGCCTACATGGCTCCTGTCGTCAGGTGCTCACCTGACAGGTCAGGCCTGGGTCCCCTCAGAGATGCTTTCTCATCACAATTCAGGGGCTGCTTCTAGAAATCACACGGGCTCAAACAGCAGAACACAGCCGACTGCCTCTAAGCCACGGGGCTGGCAGAGGATGAAGGGACTCCAGAGGAGAGCGTCACACTGTGAGGCCACCGGGCCGGCGTTGGCAATCACACAGTCCTGCCCACATGAGAAGCTTCAGGGTCACCCTGCGTGAGCTGTGTTTTCATAAAGGCGGCTTTGGAGAGCACTCCGCACCCCCGCGCAGTCTGTCCCCTCTGACAGCTACGCCCCTGCATAAAGAACTGGGAAAGGCTACTCAGCTCCTAAGGCTGGGCTCAAATGTCACTCCTCCCAGTTGACTCATTAGTGACAGCCAGGATGTGGCCCCAGGGGAGCAGCCAGCCAGGTGACCCGGGGAAGCCTGCACCCCAATTCAGCTGCCTGGCTTCTCCCCTCGGGAGGTAACTGGCTGACAACAGCAGACAAAGGAGGACGGGCTCGGGGTTCCAGGGGCCTTCGGTGAGTGAGGAACCACCGCGGCAAGATGGCATCCCGGCTGCCGCTGGGAACCAGAGTTCCCTGCGGGGCAAGCACCACGGATTACAGCAGGATAAAAAGGGAGGAAAATACCACTTAACCTCTCCCGAGTAAGAAACCTTTCTTGTGTTTCTACTTATTTGAACCCTTAGTGAGGGTTAACATAATCTGAAGAAACAAGGCCTTAAGAAACCAGAAGAGAGCAAGAGAAATATCCCTTCACTGTATCTGAAGATTTGACATATTTTATATAAAGTCGGCTTTTCACTGTTTATTTGTCATGTCCTTGGCAAACAGCATTAAAGCTCTTAAATGCAAGACGGAAACGTATCGCGCATCCTGCGTTCAGAAGCTGGGGCGGGGTGAGCGCCGGAGCGTGGCTGTTACTCTGCCAAGGCAGCTGAGGGCACAGCAATCCGTGGGCACACGGGGGTGGCTGGGAAAGGAACGTGAAGGCGCCATCCGGAGAGCGCTGGGACGAGAGAGCCCTGCCGGGGAGCCAGCCTGGGTTCCCACGCCCGCGTCCCAGGCAACAGGCCGGACCGGCTACAGTCTCGCGGTCTGCAGGCGTGCGCTACGCTAATGCCAGGGCTCACGCTCGACTACCGGGACACAAGACATGGAGCGATTTCGTGCTACTTTTCTCCTGAAAACCAGGGCTGGCGGCCAGCGCTCCCAGCCAGTACCATCACTCGGATGACCGCACTGCATCCTGACAGTGACAGGGGGTCTGGGCTTTATTGTCCTTTGATCCAAATTACTCATGTCACAAAGTTGCTCTACCGCCCTAACCTGCAGAAACATCCAGATTACATCTGGCACCCAACCCCGGCATCCTTACCGTTAAAGAAGTCTGCATGAACGGCCTTTTCATTGGCTGCCAAGTCCATCAAGAGCCCGGTGCTGCCGCCTGCCTGGGAATGGGGAGGCAAGGTTATGTCAGCCGTGTTTTCCGAGAACGGGTGACGAGCACGTTGCGGTGTCCACGGAACAGGAAGGTGGGTGATGGGGAAAGTGCTCAAGCTGGAGTCAGAATTACCGTTCCAGACAAAGGCAGTGTGTGTCGGGGGATTCAGTTATTAACATCAAATATTTTTAAGGTCTCTCAAGGTCACGCATTCCTTGATTCCTCCTTGTCTTTCAAAAAGAAACCTGCCATTGCCCGAAGCACAACTACTTCTCTGTAAACCTCGAGAGGAGGTTTCCAGCCCCCACTGGACATCACCAGAGGCCGCAAACGTGCAAAGCCGAGCCTGGTCGTTTCTCCACTCTGGATCCTTCCTGCTTTCTGCCGAGAACTAAACCACTTCCCTTGGGAAAGTGACCTGCCCTGGCCCTGAGGTTCTGGTGGGGGCTGCCATCACGGGACCTGCACTGCCACAGCTCGGCTGTGGTGGTAAAACCATGTCATGACCAAAGCCCGGCAATCTGATGCGCTCAGGATTTTCAATCCAGTGTAGAGTCGCCCAGTGATAATCAGAGCACAGTCCTCTGACAGCAGCACCCTGGACAGCTGGCCACAGGCCCCCACAGCTGCCCTGGCTCCCACATTCCCAGAGCTGCTTGCCCACCCCAGCCCTGGTTCTCAAGTAGCCGAGCACTGCCCATGTCCCCTTTCGTGGATGCCTTTAGCACCGCACGGAAAACCCAGGATTCCCGCTTCCTCCCTTCTCGTCTCAGCCTCCCTCCCCGGCCCATCACCACATTGAGCCGGGCAGATTCCACCACTTAAATACTGGCTTCAGTTCATCCCCTCTCCCCCCTGCCTCATCCAGACCCTCTTCAAGTCTCCTGTTCCCATTTTCCTACTCTCTCACCCCAAACCTAATCCCTCCTACAGAGCAAATGGGAGACTGTCCTTGTCCACTGCAAAGCCCTCCAGTGGTTCCGTACTGCCTCAGGCAGCGGCTCTGGAGCAGGACCGAGGAGCCTGGATTTATCGGAAGTGCTTCAGGAGCGGGCGCACAGAGCCACCCGTTGTGGCGCGGCTACAGACTGCTTCACGACCTGGCACTGTGAGCTCCGCCACGTCAGACTACATGCTGTTCCTTCCCTCAGTGAACCGTGGGCGTCACGAAGGGAAGGGAGGACTCTGCTCCTGCCAGGCTGGCTTCCTTCACCCCGTCTACCTGGCAAACACCAGCGTGTCCTTCAGCCTTCAGAGCCACCCCAAAGCCCTGAGGGTTGTTCCCCTGGTGCAACTATAGCTTTCTAGCACACCTGGTGTTTGCAGCCAGCCTCGCTCTGCCACACCAGACCCTCCGAGGACAGGGCCTGCGTCTGACCATCTCTGTGCCCCCTCAACTTTGAGAAAGAGAACTGGAGGCCCTGACACCCGGGAACTGGCCAGACACCCCGAACTACGCTGCAGTGTTGCGCTGACGAACATAAACCACACCACGGACACCCACCACATACGAGGTCACTCTGTGACCAGGAGGGAGTCAGGCCAACAAAACCAGACCCTTCATAATCCAGTGTAATTACAGAAAAGAACGAGGTCACTGTGCAAAGCACAAAAATGCCAATCGCCCCTTTCTCCCCCAGTAGCTACGACGGCTGACAGCCGCTTCTCTACCAAGGGCAGTTCGCAGCCTTGCTCCAGCCTCCCTCATTCCAGCTAAGATCTGCTGAGAGGCCCACCCAGAGAAGGACCCTCGCTTCCCGACAGCACCCACTCCGGAGCAAAGCCCGCTTTCTTCCCACGAATCCCCCAACAGTCACTCCTGACACCTGCTGGTGGAGAGACCCGCGGTTCCCCAGGGTGCGCTGCCTCCATCGGGGGAGCCATCACCCAACTTCTCCGGCTGCAGCTGCGCCGGCTCCCTGGGCGCGGGCGTGCGCGTCGGCGGGCGGCCGGGCCCCGCGCCCGCAGTCCACGGAACCGGGCGGGGCTACGCACTCGCAGGCGGACGCGCCGCCCTCCCCGGTCCCCCCGGGGTCCGGTTTCGGCTCCGCGGGCAGGGAGGGGTGGGCGCCGCGCTCCGCCGCCCGCCGGGCCGGCCCCGTCGGCACCTCGGACCCGCTCCCACCGCTCGGAGCGGCCCGCCCGGCCCGCCTTACCTCGTCCAGGTCCACGTAGGGCCCGGCGCCCTCGGGGAACATCTCGTCCACCGCCGGCTTCATCGCGGGCCCGCGGCGCTCTACTACCACTTCCGGCCGCGGCGGCCGCTTCCGGCGCGGCGTTCGCGGCAGGTCTAGACGCCGGAGGACCGCGGACTCGGTGGTGTCGCCGTGGCCCGCGGCAGGTGCTGGCTCCCGGCGGGCGTGGGGCGGCCACGGGCAGAAGAGGCCGCGGAGAAATACTCGCAAGTCACCGATAAGGGGCTAACGTCCAAAATGCAGGGAGAGCTCCAAAAACAAACACACAAACAACCAGCCAGATTCAAAAGCGGGCCAAGGAGTCGAACAGACGTTTCTGCTGAGGACACGCCGTGCGGCCGATGGGCGCGGGCGCGTGCCCGTGTGTAGCAGAGTTACTGTCACGCACGATGCCGTAGTGCCCCTCCGGCCATCCCGAAGCACTGAGAGCGGAGACTTGAGGACACACCGGGCCGTTCGTGGCTGCAGCATTCGTGGCAGCCGGGGTGTCCACTGAGGCAGGAACGGTAGACAGGTGTGGAACAGACGAGCCTTACGTAGGAGGGGATCCTGCCACACGCCGTAACACGGATGGCCCTCGAGGACGTCATGCCCAGTGAAATAAACCGTTCACGGAAAGACGACACCATGTGACGGAACTTACCTGAGGCCCCCGGGGTGGTCAGATCCATAGAGACAGAAAGGACGGTGGTGTCCGGGGTGGGGAGTCAGCCTTTAGTGGGGACAGTGTGGGCTCAGGGACGATGAGAAGGTGGCGTGCTCAGTGCTGCGCAGCGGTGCGCTGAGCAGTGGTCGAGGTGGCCGGTTTTATGTTACAGTTTACCGTAATCTCAACAAAAGAATGTGAATGAGAGTCGGGGCAGAGAGGAAGAAAAGGAGGAGAGGGAGGAACTTGAGCTAGACTTTGTCGAAGATTCTTTGCTTGTCCAGACTTTACTCAGGTTAAAAGTTAAAATTGTTAAAGGAAAAATTATCTCGTTCAGTGCAGGCCCTGAACCTCCTCCTAGGCCTGTCCTCCCACAGCCTTGGAAAATCCAGCTTTAGCAAAGAGCCCTGTGTAGCCAGGAGCCCCCACAATATCTGACCAGGTTCCTCTCCCCGCCCGGGGGGTGTCTGAGCACCTGCTGCCTTAGCCAGAACCCCCCTCCCTGATGTCTCCTCTTAGTAACTTCCCACTGCAGCCCCGCCCTGCCCTTGGCCATCAACCCACACCCGAGGAGCTGGGTTGGGAGTAGAGCCCGATCTCTCCCCGAGTGCGAGACCCACTGCAGTGGCCCCTGCACCTGTCACGATGGCCCTGAGTAACGTCTGCGTGTGCTTTATCAAGGACTTTGGATAATTTTTTCTTTAACAACCTTTAGAAGTGGGTTGGCTCAGGGCTGGGCTGCTAGAGGACGGATGTGGTGGGGGAGGGTGTGTCCCAGGAGACGGGACTGGGTGGAGATGTGGGGGAGGTGTGGCCTGGGCAGGGGCCGCCCGGCCTGCCTGCGTGGACACTGTGGGGTGCAGGCAGAAGCAGTGCCGGACACGTGGGTGAGCCTCTGGTCCACACCGACGCGAGTCACCCTCAAGTAGCCGAGTGGAGGTCAGACCACGAGACTGGGACTCACTGGGGACCAAGAGGAGCAGTCCGTAAACCAAGCTCTTCCCCAGGCAGAGCCGAGGGGCTCCAGTGTCTGCTCGCACACTTCCGGGAGCTGGGGGCTCACTACCAGTGCAGAGGCTGTCCCGCTGCTGGAGGCCCGTCCCTGAGACACTGTCCACGCTGCCTACCCACCCTCCACTCCTTCAGAGTGCCCAGGTGAAGCCCCCTTCCTTGCAGCAGCCTAGAGCCTGGAGCCTTCTCCCGGAAGACCAAGCGCCCCAAGCGCCCTGGGCCCTGACGCTCCCGCACAGATGGGCCTGTCGTTCCTGTGCGCACTGCTCTGGGCCGTGCCGTGCTGTGACGCGTGGCCGCCCGGCCTAGGTGTGGGCGCTGTGGGTCTGCTGCTGCCCAGGTTAGGGGCCCAGGCTGGGGCTGCCTGGACTGGGGTCTGGTTCCCTCTACCCAGCTGCGGGGCCTTAGTCAGGCAGTGACCTGTGTCTCTGGCTTGGTTTCCTCACCCATAATCTGGGGGAACGGCAGCCGCCCGGGCCATGGTGAGAGTTAGGTGAGAGAGGGACCCGTGAAGCGCCAGTCTGAGCCTGTGCACGTGCCCGGCTCACACGCGTGCAGACAGAAACGTGCACATGTTTACGGAAGAAGTGTTCACTAGTAACCAAAACAAAACCAGGTTCACTTGTCAAGTGAAGTCAATGGGACCCGAGTGCAGCTGTTTCTAGAAAGACAACCCACAGGCGTTTGCTGCTCATCTTCCGTCAGGAGTTTATTGAGTGTGAGGCCCCCCCCCCGGCCCCCGCCCAGGGCCGTGGCTCCCGGCTGACCCCAGACCTGCCCCGAGGCCTGGCCAAGTGCAGCCTGGCGGGGCGGCTGCCCCAGGCTGGACGCTGCTCAGTCCTCCTGATAGGGGACGTGGAAGCCCAGGGTGGTCCCCAGGGGGAAGTGTGCGAAGAAGGTGCGGGCCATGTCCTGCAGCTGGGGGTAGGCGCCGAGCGTCTGGAAGTATTCCACGTAGTTCCAGAAGTCAGAGGTGGAGAAAGGCCAGTAGGGCATGGCCGGCAGCTGCGCGTAGGGGTCTGGAAGACACATAGCACCCACCTCAGTGCTGTCCCCACTGTCCTGCCCGGCTTCCGGTCCACGGAGGCCTTAGGGCAAGTGGATGGTGCCCAACTGCGCCTGCACTGATGGAACCTTCCGGCTCAGGGCTGTGGCCTGGGCTGTCCCTGACATGGGTGGGGCGATGACCTAGGCCACTGGGGACACCTGACCTGGGGGACAAGGAAGAGGAGGAGGAGGGGAAGGACGGGGCCTGTTCTAGTCTGGAGGATCCTGAGCCGGCAGAGAGCCGGGGGTGGGGGCGCAGGGGCCCCGGCAGTGTCCTGGCGGGATTTCAAAGGCGAGCACAGCCCCCCGGTCCTAGAGTGCAGGTGAGGACGGCCCAGACGATTCTGGACTGAGTTAGGACCCAGGGCGGGAGGGCCTGGGGGCTGGAGCCCAAGTCTGAGGTGGGAATGTCCGGGGTGGGCAGGGGCCCGGCTGCCTGCTCAGGGTGTTCCCAGGTTGCTGGAGGGCGGGGCCCAGGCTCGGAGGCTCAGAGTCCTTGTGCCTGCGCAGCTCCGGGCTGGCCAAGGGCTAGCTATTGTGTGCTCAGGCCTGCGCTGAGCCCGGCTCTCCACACGTCTGCTTGGGAGAAGAAGCCACTGCCCTCCCCGCCACCTCTTCCTCCCCTGTCCCCCAGCCAGAGCACCGGTTACTGGCCCAAATGTAAGGAAAGAAGGCGGAGCACGGTACCTGCCTCCTCCTGCGCCGGCTTGGCCCCTGCAAGCGAAGAGAAGGCCCGTCACCCAGGCGACCCACGCTCCCGAGAAAGGCAGGGCGGGCAGCAGGCTGCCCCCAGGCCCGCCCCACACCCACTGCAGGGCTCGTGGTGGGGAGGACCCAGGAGGGCTGGTGGAGGTCACGCCTCATGGCCCTCACCTGCCAGAGGCCCCAGCAGGAGGCAGAAGACCAGCCCCGGCACCATGCAGACGACGTGCATCTTCCCCAGGTGCGCCCGGTCAGCTTGCGCAGGTCCCCCTGCAGCAGGAGGAAGAGCCCACCCACCCGTCGGGGCAGCTTCCTCCGCCGGCCCCAAAGTGGGCAGTACTTGGGCAAACAGTGCTGGTAGAAAGACAATTTCTTACTGTCTTCATAGCAATTTCAACGTCAGCGGTTTAGACCATCATTCGAAGGTGAAATCCCGCCTCGGTCGGCCTGATTTAATTTTCACTATTTAAGAAATTGCGATCACCCGCCAACCCCATCTGAACCCCGGGGAGGTTACCTTGCGGCCTGTCCGCTCAGCCCAGCCGCAGCCTGGACGGGGTCTGCTGCCGGCTCCGGGCCTCTTTATACAAAAGGGCTGGAGACAGGCAGGAAGCGTCACCTGCCTGAACTGTCAGCCTGAATATTTCATCCCCCGCAGAGGACTGGGGGCCTCTGTAACCTGCTGGCACGCAGAGTCAGGGATCAGCTTTCGGGAATGTATCCAAAGATCAAAGGGAGAGAAAAACATCTTTGCACAGACCATTTCTAAAATTTTTAGGACTGAATTCAATGTCAGTACTTGAAATAAACCCAATTTCCTCTCCCCCAAGGAGAGACGTTCTGTGTGATGTTGGGGCTGGTGGGGGTTTCCTTCCCCGTGGGAAGGGGCCGAGGAATCCAGAGCTGCCCCACCGAGGAGGAGACCCTCGCAAAGCCCCCCAGCCCGGGTCGGGGGGCTGCTGCCTCAGGGCACCTGTCGAGCAAAGTCACAGGCAGGAAGTGTGGGGTCAAGCTGGACTCGTGTCCTCAGACAGAACTTTCCTGCTTTTACTGAGCATAAGCCCGTGGTTGGGAGGGAGACAGTCCCAGCCCCCGGGACACCAGCAGCCGGCACCGAGGGTCTCTGCGGGTCGGGCCCCTCTCCTTACGCCACGGCCCACCGACCACGACGGTTCCGTGCGCCTCGTCTCTCGTCCCACTGGGTTCAGGCGCCTGTCCACACTGTTCCTGGCACTTAGGGCATTTCAAGGACACTGGAGCCTCCTCGCCCCTGTGTCCGCGGTTCCCCGCCTTCACCACGGCTGCCCCCTCGTCCCCACCCAGAGCGCTAAGGACTCACTTTTCCGGGCAAGTGTCCTGCGTTTCACACGATGCCCAGGCAGGTACTGGACGCAGCTCGGGTGGTAAAGCAGCCACCTCCCGGGTGAGGCTTCGGGCTGCAGTTTCAGAAATCTGGGCCGGGCTATGGGGGGAAATGGATTCTCTCGGGCGGTTGTGTCAGGGGCCGCGGGACCACCCCAGGCCGGAGACTCACTGCAGGGGCCGCAGGACCCAGGGCGCGGTGGCCCAGGGCTGAGACCCATCGGGACCAGCGCAGGGTCTGCCGAGGGCTGAGCCCAGCCGGCTGGAGACGCCGCCCAGCGGGCAGTCGGCAGGG